AAAGGATTCCCGACCAAGTATTGACTATTGAGTGCATAACTGAACATAATTATTTGAAGGTTGACTTTTTTTTTTGTATTAAAAACACTTTTTTTGAGACAGGAATTTTGGGTTTTCATGAGCTGTATGCCAAAATCATCAGTATTAAAACAATAAAAGACCTGAAATATTTCAGTTGGTGTGCAATGAATCTAAAATATGTGAAAGTTTAATTTTTATCATTACATTATGGAAAATAATGAACTTTATCACAATATGCTAATTTCTTGAGAAGGACCTGTATACACACACACACACACACACACACACACACACACACACACACACACACACACACATACATATATATATATATATATATATACACACATATACATATACATACATACATACATACATACCCCAAAAGTAAATAATTATTACATATATCACAATATATATATAATATATAACTATTAAATGTTTTAACAAGTAAAATTCTCTTTAAAATGCCCATGGAAAAAGAAAGCCATACAGGTTTGTAAAAACATAAGTGTAAGTAAATTATGAGTTATTCCTTAAATTTTAAAGTAACTGTATAGCAAAGCATAAAGGAACACACCTTGGTTTCACCTTGTGTCCAATGAGCTCAACATGCTGTACTTTGATCAAATCCAGCAGCAGAGAATGAGATTCATATTTCACAACTGCTTGTAGTGGGTTTAAACGAACAAGACAGCTTGAATGCCATATGCGTCTGACCATGAACGCAACAAACAGATGAATTAATTATGGCAGGCACAGTTGAACTGAGCCGTGCATGACAAAACAGACAGATGAAACAGTCACTAACTTCTGTCACTGCTCGATGAACATTCCTCCTAGGGAATATTTTTGAGATAACAAGAATCTGCTTTGTCTCACCAGTTTCAGCTTTTCCAAGCATGTAAATAAAACCTGGAGCATTTATTTAGAATTCCTATTCATCTCAATGGGAGTTGCTCAACTGATGCAGGTGATTCGAACCACAGACATTTTTGAACCAATCACCTCAGCCGTAAATGCCATGTAAGTAAGCTGCAAAACCATGAAATCATGACACATCAAGAATGTGTAGCACCAAGCCCTCAGTAGCAACTATCCTGAGCTGTGATGTGTGAAGCTAATATAATCCATGTCTAAAATCTAATGACCGTCCATGGAGAAAGAAGCCGTTTCGAACCTGATAGTGTGGTTCTAACTGGGCCGTACTAACCAGCAAAACCTTGAGCACTTGTGTATGCTGCTAAAGTTTGAGTAAAATTTCTTTCATTTTTCATATATTAAAGATGCATTATGATCCCTAAAAGATGTGATTCAGAAGATCAAAGTATAATAGCCGGCTGCCTTGCATGTATAATTACATGACTCATTTAAACATTAAATAATCAGGAAAATGTTACAGGCTTGTTATCTCATTGGGTGGAGTCAAGAGCTCTCAGCCTCTGTGATGAATCTTACAGTACACTTGAGGAGCTCACAGAGTCTGAAACTTAGATAAAAAAAAGATAAAAGCTAATTTCAATAAAAACATATTTCAATTATCTTCCTCAGATTCCTCTTGATACACCAAGAAACCGAACAAAGCAACATTTCCTAAAGCCCAAAAGTTGTTTTATCACTGAATATTCATGTAAAAACGTACTTTTTACAACCAAAAAGGCCTTAAAAATTGAAGGCAAATGTTATTACATCTGTATTCAAGCGTATTTCATAATCTTTTAAAGACTTGAAAGCGACACAATGGTCAAACTCTATTCAACGTTACCAAGGTTACTGGAGTTGCTTTCATCTGGAGAACAAGGAAAGTCAAATGCTATGTCTCTGAAAGCACAGAAACAAAGTCTTACAGATACACAAGCAAAGACAGATGAAAAAGCAATAGCCAGCACTATTTATACTCACAATACTATAGGTATTAGGGGTGGGCGTTATTAATCGGTAGAGATTTTTTGGACTATCGTCTCTATCGCGGTTACGCACTCATGCAACGTTATCACCCACCCCTAATATATGTTGCACATAGGTTCAAATATTCAACCAGCACAGCCAAACATAGCCCGCATTTCTGTATCTATTTGATTTGAAGCTAGGATACAGAACACTTAAAGAGTGACAGCACAACAGCAGACTATACAGTGTCACAAAGCATGAAATCACACAGCCTCAAATAAGCATTCCAACAAAAGCATTTACACAGTTTGTCTTGTAGCTGGTGTTTTCATGTGAAGATATACTAGTGGCATGTGGCTGTGGTAATAGGATTAGATTAGACTGACACACAGCTGAATAATGTCACATCAGTAATAGTACGAAAGCATAATGACGTCATCAGCACATTCTCTAGAGCAAGACTCTGCAGCTGAAAGACATTTATTAGAGGCTTGTATATCCATATGGTTCTGCAATGCCAAACCATGCACGCAATAGCCTATGCTAGCTTTTCTGTTCAAATTAACAGTGGTTTGTGAATGTTGATGCTTTAATAACAAGTCATTTATCAGGAGCATTTATGCTGGGATGTATAGGTCATGGCTAGGCGACACGTAACTTCATGGATGTACTGAAAAAAAATCTATTTATACTTTTATGCAGGCTTTTGTGGGCGGAAGCGGGACAAAAAATTAATGTTGCAGGCGGGAGAAGTTAACATATTTTTGTGTGAGCGGGATAGAACCCTGCGGGAGCGGGAAAAATCCGTCCCATGCAGGTCTCTTGAGGCGAGCATATATGCTAGAATGTTAACAAAATCCAATTTAGCAGACATTTTTCTAGCTGGAAAACAAAACAAAACAAAAATATTGATGACTCATCCTGCACTCCACAGATTATTAGTAAAATCACTGACTACAAAGAGTTAAACTGACTGAGTATGCGAATACAGATAGCTTTGACTGGCAAATATCCAGACATTTAAATATACATCCCATTCATTTGCAGACCTTGTTGTGACATCTTTATTATTATTCTTTAAAGGGACAATGTACAATAATTAACATGAGCACTCAAGGCCATCATGTAAATGTGCCAGATTTAGCCCATACAACATAAAGAAATCAAGCTAAAACACATTCCAGCAAACATAGCCAGAGGATATTAACACACGTACAAAATGACTTTAAATAAGGAGACAGAAACAAGCCACTACTCCAAACTATGAAGACATGATTGATTATCCAATATCCACTGTTTTATCGATGCAGAAAAAGAAGTAAACGATATAATATTTCTTAATTTTGTTCCAAGTATGAGCAGCTCTATAAGTAAAGGCTGACTGCCCAAAAACACTTTTTTTTTTGAACACTAGACTACACTAGAACTAGTGGCTCTAGTAGATGAGTTATGATTTTATACACAAGTAAAATATCTGCAAATGTAATAACTTTCCCATTTAAAAAAAAAAAAATCATATTTAGTTAAAAGTTTTCAATAATGATATAAATTAGAACATCCCTTGTTATCAGTTATTATATACAGTATAACAGATTCAGATACAATATTCTTGCCAGCAATTCAGTGTATTGTCCAGAGCAGCATGTTTTTTAAAACAGGAAAGGCATGGTGTAATTAGATAAGTCCAGCATGAGTTTGTTTTGAACCGAGAATGACGCAAAACATGAAAATGGGTTGACAGAAAAGTTAACAATGGCATTATGCATCTACAGATGCATCTACAAAATGTTTTCTTTAAGAATCTGTAAATATAATCAAACTATGAACCAGACTTTCACTCTTTTGTTAGATATTTGGTCAGCTAAATTAACTGATTATTGGCTGATATGGTTTTATGTAAAAGCACAACAAGTCCTTAGACAACTGCTATCTTTATCTCAAAGCTGCGCGTAACAGAAGGTTTGGCAACACTAGGTGAGAATGAAATATGTAGGATTGTACTAAATCATAAACATTTGAATGTGAGCGTTGCACATTTATTTCCTCATGCAGTCTTTTGCCAAAGCCGTTTATAATAATGAAAATACTGAATGTTTCATTTCAACTGGTGATGCCAAATGTTCTGACTGTAGGATTCAGGAAACTGGATTAACTTGCACTGTAAACTGTAATTTCCCATTGAAAATCCTTTGTAATTTGTTGCTGCTTGTAATCTGTGTGTGGGAAACTCGTCCTAAGATAAAGCTAAAACGAAACCAGAATATACAGATAACACTGTCTCTTAACCTCTCCAGGCATTGCAAATCTCACAGGCTTGTGATTCAGATGAAATGAGTTGTGTGGACCTGGATGCTAAAAGGCAGCATCAATGAGGAAGGACCAGAGAGGATCAGAAGAAACACATCCACAGAAATGTGTCATTGAATGTAAATCTCAAAACAAAGGCTGCTCCTTCCTTCTCTGGTGCTCTCTGTTGAAATGCTTCGCGGAAGTTATTTCTGAGTCACGTCACTCTTACGCTTTATATGCATTGTTATGCCATAAGCATTTCCACAATAATCACACTGCAGTACTGACCTTTCTCTCCCCACAGATTAAATGGTCTGAGGGAGGATGTTGTGGGGAGAATAGAACACAATTGAAGTTGAACAGGTCAAGGGCAAATTGATATTTCCTGTTAAAAGCTGCTGAATAAAAGTTATATGACTACTCTACTGGGGTTAGACATACGTGTATGAGACTTGAAAACTGTATATGATCCGGCTGATATTTACTGAATGTTTACATACACACACCCATACATACACATACATGTTCCTCCCTGATAAAACCATGACGTTAGAGTTGATAAGTTTGATTCATTTCTGTGAATGAGTTCAGGCTTTGTTTCAATAAATCAAATCAAAATTTTTAATTTACTTTTTTCATACATAATGAATTGTGCTGTTTAGTGAGGCATACTTACTATACAAAGGAAAGTGACTGATCAATATAGACTTATGAAATGTTTGAATGAGAGTTCAAAACAGATTTTCTGTTAGCACTTGACTTTGACAAGAAACTTTTGCTTCTACCTTCTACTATTATTTGTATGTATGTGTGTGTGTGTGTGTGTGTGTGTGTGTGTGTGTGTGTGTTATAGTTGTTAGTATTGTTGTAATTCAAAATTTGTGAATGTTCATAGTGAATTTTCGATGGCATGGGTCTGAACCAATAAAATGTGATTTTCAAATCCATGCTGATGTAAACAAACCGAACTTGTTGCTAACCAGTCGCAATAACGCCGTCAGTGATTATTCAAAACACCCCACGCGGTGGCACATTGTTGTATCATGAAAGCGCCCATCCTCTAAAAAACATGAAAAGTAAACAGCAATTTCAAATTTTCAAGCTTTTAATGTAATATTTGGTCGCTATATGCCTGTTTTGTACTCACGTCAAGTCAAGTCACCATTTATATAGTGCTTTTAACTATACAGATTTTTCAAAGCAGCTTTACAGTGATAATAGGAAATGAATCCAACAAAGATAGTTTTGGCTTTACAGCAGCTCTAGAAGAAAGTCATTGTTCATCTTAACCCTCTGGGGTTGTTCGGCCCAAATGGACCCGAATCATTCAAATAAATTTTTTTTTAAAATCACAGCTTCTTCGGAATGGTCCGAAATTTGGTGACTTTGTTGGTATTTGGTATATGAACACCCAAAAAAATTGGGGACAGGATGTGAACAGTCTAAGTGGTTGTAAAAAAAATAGTCACACTCAGGACCTTCGGGTCCAAATGGACCCCCATAGGAAATGAATGGGAAATTGGCAAAAATTTGAAAAAAACCCAGAGTTTTTTGGTGCGTACAATCTACAAATCAGCCACAATCCATAAAAAAGCACACAACAGTGAAGGGGTGAATCTATAAAACATCAAGAGTGCAAAACAGACACATCCACACACACACACACACACACACACACACACTTTTATACACATACACACTCATAAATTCAGATTACATAAATCTGTTTTGAATTTTTAAAAATCACAGCTTAATCGGAATGTTACGAAACTAGGTGACTTTTATGGTATTAGGTATGTGAACACACACAAAAATTGGGGACAGGATCTGAATAGTCCAAGTGGTTGTAAAAAAATAGTCAAACTCAGGACCTTCGGGTTCAAATGGACCCCCATAGGAAATTAATGTGAAATTGTCAAAAATATGAAAACACAGATTATTCAATATGAAAACACAGACTATTCAAATAGAATAGTCTATTTGAATAGTCTAAGTGGTTGTAAAAAAAAATAAAAAAAATACTCACACTCAGGACCTTCGGGTCCAAATGACCCCCATTGGAAATGAATGGGAAATTGTCAAAAATATGAAAACAGTTTTTTTGTGCATACAATATACAAATCAGCCAGAATGCAGAAAAAATGACTCAACGGTGAAGGGGTGAATCTCTAAAAGATCAAGAGTGCAAAACAGACACACACACACACTGTATTATATATTTATAATAATCTGTATTATAAAGTAAAACTGGCACTTCAAATTACCATTTAAACCAAACAAACAAACAAAAAACAAGACAAAAATAGTCTTTGAGAATCTGTTATTATATTTTAAAAATCAACAACCTGAAAAAAAATTGGTATATATTTGCAAAAATCACTAGAATCCCCAAGCCTTTCTACAGAGAGCTGTAAATCCACTAGTGGTAAAAATGTGCTATTCCGTGAAAAAAATGCTCAGTGTGTCCACCAGATGGTATCTATATTTTTTTTAAAATTGCTTTCATGAGGCCTAGGCTTCACTCTAAAATGTAATACAGCTTTGATAAAAAAAAAAAAAAAAAAAAAAAAAAAAAAATCTATTATGTTCAATGGGAAAAAATGGGTCATAATTATTGCATAAATATTAATTATAAATCATAAAATATCTCAAAACACCAAAAAAGAAAAGAATTTTTTTTATAAAAAACAAGTAAAAAAAAAAAAAATGATTTTTTTTTTTAAATATGAATCCTGCCCGTTGGGTCCATTTGGACCCGAACACCCCAAGTGTGACTGTTAAACGAACAACCCCAGAGGGTTAAAGGTATAGCGGAGGATTTTCTTTTTCCGGGTGGATCATCAAGACTATTGGTGCTCCTAGTTGTCAATCATTCTGGTGATATGTTTACGTAAGGCCGTCGTACGTGCTCTTCCCTAGGTAGTTTTTGCTTTCTGCGCATGCGCACTTTCAGGTGTATATGTGTGGTGAGCTACGGTTTCAGCCTTTCATTGAAGCTCGCCGCTCTCACCGGGTTTTTTCAAAATGTCTGAGGGTCACAAGAGAAAAAGTGTCTACGAATTGTATGACAAGAAGAGGAAGGCCTCTGAAGAAAGAAACAAGACCAGAGTGTTTTTGGGAGAATATTTCACACGCTGGCATGCGCTAAAGCACAGATTGGGCTTCCCACCGATGCCTCAGTCGCGAAGTTTCTACTCGACAGGTAAAGTTTGGCATGCTATTTGGAAAATCCATTTAAAATCACTGCTAGTAAAAGGTGAACTAGGCTCGTGCATGCTCTCTCCTGCACACGTTTAATAGGCGTTCCCTCTCGGGAGCAAATAGAGTGTTGCGCATGTGCATTTTTAAAAAAATTGGAGAGGGCGGGTCTTCTCTAAAATTCGGAAAGATCCTCCGCTATACCTTTAGGTAAGTTTTTGATTTATTCATTTCCGTTGTAAAAATCCTTAGTTATTAACTTAGGGTCCACTTACACAACACCGTTTTCAACTGAAAACAGAAAACTTTTTTTCCCCATTTAAATGACAGCAGTGTTTTGGTGGCCTGAGAATGCAAACTTTGATTTAGGTTTCAAAGAGCAAGTTTTTGAAAAAGAGTTTCGAAAACGATACCGTGATCATCTCCGTGTAAACTTAAAAAACGTGAATCTTTGAAAGCGGTGACGGCATGCACATGCGAATAACGTGTTTAGTCTATAGGCATGCACGTTTGAATGCATATGTGCGCGGACGCGTAGTCTTTCTTTACAAATAATATAATGTAATGGATATGGATGATAGTGAGAGTGCACACTCGGTGACTAATGCTTTAAATGCACTGCGGTCGGCGAATCTTGACGCAATTAACATGGAACATTTTGTTAAACTTATTAATGACTACTTCAGTGATAATGTGCCACCATCAAAACAAAATGATTGTGGACATTAATGCACTGTAGCAAATCTTGAACAATGGTTGGGCATGGGCACAATAAGAAACTGTCATGACTGTATTAAAATGAACTTTGCTACTGCAAATGTGTTGGTCACTGGCCACACATCCATTCAGGAAATTATTTTTATAAAATTGTTAACATGAGATAGCTTATTTGTTATTTATTGTTATTGATATTTTGTTGCATAATTTTGCTATGGATTGGTACATGGGAAGCCCTTAACCAGTGGCACGCTTCTCAAACTGACTGCTGAACAGAAAAATCAGTTAGGTAACAATGTTAAATATTCTTTGTATAAATATTTTCAATAAAGTTAAACATATACTTTCCCTATAGATATGGTTTTGACTTGGTGTGTGCCAAATTTGGTGTTATTACCAGGGATTTTAAGGTATGGTTTGTAGGTGATTTTGTTTTGGGACCTTCAAAAAACTTTAACTTGATTTTTCTCAAAATTGACTTTGCTGACTCTATCGACTTCAAACAGGTGTAGCTCGTTAATTTTTTTTTTCAGATTCCAACATCATTTATAATGTTTTTAATAACAAGAACTCATGTTTGAAAATGTTCTCTTTCTGACTCATTTTGCCAGCACGGGTCACATATATCATTATCGCGAGATAAAATTACTCATATCATGATAAAAGACTTGGGTAATATTGCCCACTCATAATATTTCTCACCACCTAAGATGTTAAATTACGACACAAAGGCTCTTGGTATATGGTATTCACACATGTAAGCCACCAGTCCCACTCCTGCATTTGTAGAAGGACTTGGCTCTTACAGTTAGGTGGAAATGCTTCCAAGGACGGATGGCACCTTGGAAAAGCAACGATATTTGCCAGGGGGTGGATGGGAGCTCTGAGTAAACTATTCCTCATAAAACTAAGAGAACACTGGAAGTGTTCCCGTTCATTATTTCAAGTCCATTTTCAATTTTGGGGTTGTAGCTTATTTGTTCCTGAGCAAGCTGTTCTCTGGATTACCTCTATTGCAATGTGAATGGCATCTTAAAGAGACACTGAAGTGCAAACTGGGAGCTCACAATATGCCATTGAGCCAACAACTCAGAAGCATTATTAGCAGGGTTTGAAATTAACACCCGCCAACCCACCAAATGTGGGTAAAAATCAACTGTGGCGGGTCACGCTGTCAAATCACTCGCTGTTATTATGTTTACTCACTTTGCTGAGGAAGTTCATGTAAGCCAAATGTGTGCAGATTTAGCGCAAATACTCAACTCGTGAGTCATCATGATATATTAAATATAGCGTATTGCACAGAATCGGCACATATGGCTTATTTGAACATGTCCGTCACTACGCAACAAATAACGGTGCGCTTGTTCGTTTGCATGGAAGCTTAAAAAGCATTTGGTTAACAGAAAAGACAGATGCTGTGTTTGAAATCGTCTCCTATACCCTCATTCACTATTCCTTACATTACTCCACTAATATCGTGAAGTACTTGAAGTAGCTAGTGAATGAAAACGAGTGAGTGAATTCGGACTGCCGCTAGTGCATAGTTTGTGCTTGCCGTTTAATAATAATCATTTGAAACTGCCATGGAAAATACATTTTTGGTGAAAAGGATGAGGATGAACGAGGAAGGGAGGAGATGGCTGGATGACAGGATTTTGATTGAATATGAAATGAATGTATGCAATCCAAATTTGATTATATTTAGGCTATAGGCCTATTTACTATGTATATATATATATATATATATATATATATATATATATATATATATATATATATATATATATATATATATATATATATATCTAGGTCAAGATCTATTTATTTCATACCCGTAGGTAAATTTGTTTTGCAGATAAAGAAAAAAGATTTTATATATATATACATTTTTTGGCTAG